ATTATCATTCAAATCTATAAAATCGTCTATATTGACATATTTGTCAATACCACATAATTCTCTTTATAAAAAGAAAAATTTCAAAAATCGCTTGTCTGAAACTTTATTTGAGGAAAATTAACAGATATAAATTTTAATTAATCTGAATTGAAACACTTATTATATGCTTGTAGTTCAAAATATCACCAAAAAAACATTTTTAACACGGGGCTAAGTATTTTTATGCGGTATTGACGACTCTGTCGACAAGCCGAAATTACTTGATGAATATAATTTGAACGCCCTTTTTATATATATATTTAAAACTACGTAGTAATCTTAAAAAAATAAGAAAATGCTCCATGTAATTTAATATTTTACAGAATTTTAGTTACTTTGCCTTACTTACGAAGAAGCTTGTGGAAATGTTAGAAAATTACCAATAAATTTTAAATTTAAAAGAGTTACCGTTCTTATTTTCCGATAATATCGTGTACGGACGTCATATTTAAATATACACAAAAAAAATAAATTCTAAATTCTTTTAAACAATTTGGGAGTCCTTGGATTGTAGTGAGCTTTTCCATTTACGATTAGCAAATACAGTTTTAATTTAATAACAATATAACTTGACCGCTACAAATTAATACAAACTTTTAAGGATTTGAAAATTTATAAATTATTTTAATTCTTTAAAATAATTCTCGTAAAAATTCATTTTCATCGAGATTTTTATTCTTATGATAATGGTGTCCATATTTTATTATATCCATAAAATCAATTAAAAAAATTAAAAAAAAAAAATACTTCTAGGGGGTTGGGCTCATCAAAATCCTTTCTCTCAGATATTGCAAAAATACATGAATAGATTATATTGCCAATTTCAACGTAATGATCACAAAAACATATGGTTTTATTAAACAGAGCCTCTGTTTCATGATTGCTTCATATAATTGATCGCATGAAGAGTATATGTATTTAGTTTGTTTTTTTTATCTCAAATTAGGACTATAAAACGTTTTCAGCATCATTGCTATACCTCACATGTTTTGTACGCCTGTAATCCTTGTTCATTTAATGTCCTCATTGACCTTCTTGTCTAAAGACCCTTCTGTCTGCTGACTTCTTACAGACGCTTGGAGCTGCTTCCAAGCAACCTTTTGTTTCGATTCTCGAATCGATAAGTGACGCTTAAATATAATATATCCAGTTAATCCCCGATGCATCCAGAGGAAAATCTGGATCGATTCTCTACACCCATTAAAAGGTATTATTTAGAAAATGAATCCTATAAGAAACAGCTATCGATCATTTCTGGGAGAGTTATCTTGGGAAGTTTCAGAAAAAGTTCCAATTAATGAGAAAGAGAGAGAGAGAGAGAGAGAGAGAGAGAGAGAGAGAGAGAGAAGGGAATCCTGATAATACCCATGGCATACAACAACTGAACTTCACTCAAGTTCACTCAATGCAAGGCTCGAGAACACTCAAGTTAGAGGGTTAATTTTAAAATAGTTATGGTGAATGAGATGTTTAACATGAATGAAAGAGGAAGAGGTAGGGAGTAAAGATCAAGTGTATAAGAAGGATAGTTAACAATTAAATGTGTAATATCCAGGAAAGCAACCACACGGGAGTCTGTTCCACAAAGTGGTAATTCTGAGATATTTGGTATACGGAGGAAATGAGGGTGATTCGACTCTGTGGAAGTCGCATGACGTGTCCTAACTGTAAAGTCAAAATGGGGTAACTAAAGAATGGAGATTATCTGGAAATTGACCATGGAAGTAGCGACCGGAAAGTTGTGTGTTCAATTCACGTCGTGGTCAGAAATTGTTTGGTTTGGAATCATTGTTTAGGGTTGGCAAAGTGTTGTATGTTAACGAAGAAAAAAGTACAAGTGTTGAATTAGTTGAAATCATAAACAAACACGTTAACAAAATTTTTTACACAATCGGGAACTTATAGTATAGAGAATGTTCAAGGATAGTTCCTGAAAGGAATGTTCTTAAGATAGTGTCATGGGTCCTTACCTATAACTACAGAATGAAATCTTCCTAACACTATGTATACAACGCCTCTAAAGAGAGAGGGGCGAATCAAACCGAGCTTCTCGGCTTGACGGTCGAACTCTCTGCCTCTGAGCAGAGAGGAACCCGGACGAGGCTCCGCCGAAGGGCAGAGTCTCGTTCGGGGAGGTTGACCAACCCGATCCCGTTTATACGGGTTTTACGGGCATTTTTTGGTCGAACCTACGGGCTCGGGAAACCCACATTAAACTCGGCCTTGTGTCATATTCAACCCTCGGGGTGGGTGTGTGTGTGGGGGGCTAGATACCGAATCGAGTCGAGCCGATAGTAGTTCACTCCAAACCAGACTGACAGTCATACTAACACCTTCCACATCTTATATGTAATTTCGTGTAATATATCTTCGTTATTTCTACTCTTGTGTTCGTGTTGTTCTTCCTTGGTCCTAACCTGGACCATAACAGATAGTTCCTTGTAAAAAAAGAAAGAAATGCATGTTCAAGGATAGTTCATGAAAGGAATGTTCTTAAGATACTTCCTTGTAAAAAAAAAAAAAAACAAAAGAAAAAAAAGGAAATGTATGCGGCTAAACATACATTGTTGGTGAGATAAAGACTGAATCAAGTGCCATGTCTAAGCGAAGTGCATCCGTTTGCAGGGCGCTTAGTTTCGCATCCTACCTCGTTCCGGCACGATACGAAACAGAAATAGACTCTTGGAATTCCCGTTGTAAATGAATTGTTTATAATAAGTTTATTGCAAAGTGTTTACTATAATAACAATAAGAAGAAAAATATCAAAATGAATAGCGAAAATATTTTATTTATAGAAAAAAAAATGGATGAGATCAAAATAAGATCATTAAAAATGGTATATTTTTAGTCAAACACTGACGTAGCACCAAGCGCTTAATTATTTTGAATTGATTTCCCAGTTTAAGGTTCGAAGGGAACCATTGACACTGGACAAGCTGTTAATGACACATGATTGATCGACTCCGAAGCAGTCATTATCTTTGAGTATTGTTTGTTTATCTAAATTAATAGTCTTCAACGACGGAAGATTATTACTGGGCAAACTTTTGTTGCTCCCTGTCTGAATATCATCCTTTATGTCTTTGTTCACAAGAAATCGTGGGTGGCAGGGACACTGGGCACAATTTCAAAAGAAACGGCGTTAGCGAGGCACAGTAAAGATAATGAAAATAATTAAAATGTGGACAACTGATGAAAATGACGTATATAGACGACAACAAGCGTTTCTGGAGCTCGAAAATCTGTTCTGTTAATGTTAGTGTTTCTTATGGCCTCAAAAGAACAAAATAAACTCAACTTCTAAGTGACAATAAAAAAAGGAACAAAAATTAAGATGAAAGAAATATTCGTTAAAATTCTATCTGTATAACGTCGAAGATGATAACTGACGTTACATTTAATTTTTTGAAGATCGTAGGAAAGCAGGAAGCTGGAAGAAAGTTCCGGAAGCGAGAAGTGCGAGAGAAGTAGCATTAGTATAGATCTTACGGTAACAAGCAGCAATTTCAACAGTGACATTATGAGACCTAGCTGCCAATCTAGTACTGCGCTTAAATTTGTGAAGTCGAGGTAACAAAGAACAATTACCATAGAGGTACAGAAAAGCTATATTACGGCGATGAGGAAAGTGAATGAAGCTGAAATGACAGGTCTGGATCGATAACGTTTCAGATTTTTTCTTTGGTTTTGTCAAAAATTGCTAGATATATAACAGATGCATCAGACCAGTTGTAGCAGCAACATTCGAGGCACGGACGAATAGTAGACTTATAAATATGTCAGACAGATTCTGACAAGAGAAAGTGTCTAGCACGCACGTGGCTAGGTCAAAGGTAATAAGTGTTCTATTCACAGCGGATTTAATCGTAGAACCACACAAAGCCACCAAATGGAAGCAGATATGTCTTAAGATTCCAAATCAAAATAACCTTCTTCTTCTTCATGATGTGGATGATCATGGCTCTCCACAACTTTTTGTCTTTATAGTTTTCTGTCTACTGTATCTCCTAATCCCTGCTCTGCCAACCATTTATGCAGGCTAGTTAGGTAGGTTAAGCAATGCTTTCCTCTCTCCCTTTGCTTTCAATGTATACTGCGAGTGTCTGATTTTTCAAGCCCTATTACCTTCTCATATGTCTTAGAAAATGCAACTGTTTCTTTCGGATGAAACATGCATGTGCTTTTTGTTTCCATTTTCTCTAAAATGTCATCATTGCTCACACGTTCAGTCCATGATATTCTCAACATCCTTCTGTAGAAGCGCATTTCTGTTCTCTCAAGTAACTTCCGCATTTACGATGAGATTGTCCAACATCCACTGCTCTTTTGGTAGACCGATATTACATAACAATTCAGTATTATTCTTATCGTTTCCAATTAAATTTTCCAGTTTCTTAATACTTTGCTTAACTTTTGTAAGTCATCTTTCGCAGTCCCATTGTGCCTTCGCATTTCCAAAACTCTTCCTAGATATTTAAATTTTTTGCACCGGTTTAATTTTGGTATTTGCATGTTGAGCCGTTTCATTTGCTGACAACCATAAGTTCCGACTTGGGTATTTGAACTTGGGATAATGGTTAAGAAGCTTGTATCGCTTGATCAATTACGACTGACTAGTGAGTCCAATTCTCTGTGGATTTCCCCATATTTTTGGCCTTGTGTTTAGAAAATCACCATACGTTCTGTCTTCTTACAGTTGATGTTTAATCCTTTTGTTTTCTTTTATTGTTTTTTACTCTATCATTAGAGAACTGCTGACGCCTGAGTGTCTCAACCAGAGTCCAAAATAGATGAAATTATGAGAGCATCGGATCAGGGTAACAGGATGGATCAGGCAGGGTTGTTCAGTCTTGTATTGTGATTGCTCACCTGTGTCGCTTAGCATTGTTATTCAAAACGCACATGACTCATTATCAAATGTACCCGAGCTCAAAGAAGCCCTTCTCCATATTTTTACTTATAGTCATATCATGTTGAAACAACGGCTGTCGTCCGATCACCGAAGTTAAGGAACGTCGACCCTGGTCAGTACTTAGATGGATGACCGCTTACGAATACCAGGTGCTGTAAGCTTGGATGTGCAGGTGGTGTAATGAATAATGGCTCGGAATTATTAAGCGAAGAGCCGTGTTCTAATTCCTGTTGGGTTCGTTATATTCCCTTACGCGCAAATAACATTGAGAAAGGTATGACTCCATCTCTTCCCCCAGCTATGGGTTAATTAGTAAGGATTGTATCATTAAATCATTATTATCTAAAAAAAAGTCCTTCAATCTAGATATATTTTCTGGTTTTGAATAGACTGCAAAGGGTTGATAAGCCGTAAAAAACGAATCAATAAAATTTCTTATGTTTTGTCAATGTGCAAGAGTCATAATTGATAAAGTTATCTTATTGAATTGAATTGTGGTCATTGATGTATATTTTATTTAAAATATATAATAAACTATATAAAATATTTTATTTAAAAGTATCCGTTAATTTAAAAAAAACTATGGGTAGATGCAGAAAAGTTCGCAATTCGACTCCTTGCTTAGGTGTCATACGTGATCCACGCTTTGGTGATCATGATTTTTGTTTTCGATTTGTAACTGATTTGGCGGAAGAATTCCTGCAGTAGGCTACCGTTACTTTCTGCGGTAGGCTGGTTGCCAACCAAGGCTATAGGACCCAATCTATCATCCTATTTAAGCTATAGTTGAGGGAGGACGAGGAGAAGAGATGGATTCATACTTTTCCCATAGGTATTTGAATGTAAGTGAAGTGACGAAATCGAATGAAATTCGAATCCGCCTCGCCAATTTCTCGTTGCGAGCCGTTAACCATCACATCATCCGCATGTCCAAGCGCGTCGCACCTGGTATTTCCAAGCGGTCACCCATCTAGGTATTACCAGGCTCAACGCTGCTTAACTTTGGTGATTCGACACACTCTTCAAAATCTGACTAAACAACAGGTTATTCAGTACCCCCACCTCGAAAAAGAACTTTTCAGTACCCACCTTCGTAAAAGAACTTTTCAGTACCCACCACCTCATAAATAACATTTCAGTACTCCCCCCACTTTGGAAATGACTTTTCAGTGCCCCCACTTCGTAAAAGAACTTTTCAGTACCCCCACTTCGTAAAAGAACTTTTCAGTGCCCACCACCGCGTAAAAGAACTTTTCAGTACCCACCACCTCGTAAAAGAACTTTTCAGTACCCCCACTTCATAAAAGAACTTTTCAGTACCCTCACTTCGTAAAAGAACTTTTCAGTACTCCTACTTCGTAAAAAGAAAAAAGAATTTTCCAAATTAGCGAGCCGGAGAGTGATTTCTTGCAACTCGGGAAGAGACGGCCATAATATGGTATCTCCCCATCCCACAACAAACAAACAAACAAACAAAATCGAAACAGTGGCACTGCAAGCCTTCAAGAGAAATTGCAGCTGTTCGTGTATTTGAGGCTGTAGTTAAACAAACTGTCCAACTAGCGAATGGCGCTCTTTTCGCGCATTCATGGAAAGCCTTTGGGCCGAGAGACATATTACAGCGATAATTTAATTAAGAAAGGGCGAAGAAAAACCAAGACGAGTCACTGAGTGTAGTTAAGAAGATTAATGCGTAACAAATCGGCCATTTGTTTGTTTTAGAAAGCACAGGCGTTCACATTTATTGATACTATGTTGCGAATATTATGTTAGAGTCAGAGTAAATTGGCGGGAACGAGTTGTGGTGATAGCAACGTTATTGGAAGATAATTGCAACAGTTTAAAATACAGCTTTCAAAAGTCGAAGTATCAGAACTGATAAATATTCTAACAGGATTACGACTAATCATTGGGAAATACCGAGTGGTGTATGCTTCGGTGTGCAGGTGGTGTAATGGATAACGGATCAGATTTAAAAATCGGGGAGAGGCGTTCTAATTCCAATCTGGTTCATTATAACCACGTATGCGCAGATACCTTTTGGGAAGGTATGAATCTGTAGCGAAGAAAAAGGCGAATTACCTCGTCAAACCAAACGACAGCGTGTCGCGTGTATCCTATGACGGAAAAGAAAGTTACTTGCCGAAAAAAAGGGAACGTATTCTGCATGATATGCCGAAGACGGAATGTCCATACTAGAAAGGAGTCAGCCGCAGGAGTCGCCATAAAAGTATTTAGGGTTATGTTAATATTGTGCGTCCTCTCCCAGTTGTCGACGAATGGAAAAAATGCTCGGTAGATAAAAGCAGTTGGTGTTCTCAAATCTAGAGATGGAGGGGAGTATTTAGCGACCGCGTCGGTCGAGTTATTTTTTGACTGGTTATGTGCATTGTGATTTGTGGCATAGTACCTTCAAATCGAGATTTCGGCATTTCTTTCTGACCTTGATCTTCGAGTCTGAACTTACAGTGATTTGTTCTCTTCGTTGTTGAAGTAATCTGTGACAAATATTTTCCTTTGCAATCCAAGAACTCTTACAGAATCCAATTCTTCTATCCGCAGTTGTTGGTTAATTAGTAAGATTTGTATCAGTAAATAATTATTATATCAAAAAAAAATACTTAAAATGTAAGAACATTTTCTGGTTTTAAACAACCTGCAAAAGGTTGATAAGTCGTAAAAAACAAAACAATCAGTAAGTCAATAGTTCTAATTATTATTACTTTATGCCTTTACTTTATTATCCCTTTTCACAGCGCACCAGATGTGATTTTATGGATTTTAATGAGAACAAGTTTGTTCAAATCATCCGCCTTTTTCTTAGTGTCTTTGTAACAAAGCTGTCGTCTGGATAAGCTTAATCCTTCTTCAAATCTTAAATTATTATTATTATTATTATTATTTATTTATTTATTTATTTATTATGATCTTGGATTCATGGACTGCGTTTGGGACGAGAGACATATTATAACGACAATTAAACGAAGAAAAGACAAATAAATACCAAAATGGGTCACTGAGTAAAGAAGATTAATCTGTAATAAATCGGGCACTTGTTTATTTTAGAAAGCAGATGCGTTCACCTTTATTGATTTCACCTTTAATATGCGTTCACCTTTATTACTACAATATTGCCAATATTATGTTAAAGACTGAGTAAATTGGCGTGAAAGTCTTGTGGTGATGGCAACGTTATTGGAAGATAATTGCAAGAGTTTAAAATACAGTTTTCAAAGGCGGAAGTAAATCATTATATATCCTCCAAATAATTCTTACAATCTAAAATATATATTCTGGTTTTAAATAACTTATAAAAGTTTCATAAATCGTCAAAAAAAAAAAAAAAAATTCGGCAATCACGTATAAACGTGCCTGCAATCATACGTAGTGTCAAAAGGACGGTTTTTCTCATGACACTGCTTCTTTTTTTTAACTACCGTCACTCTTCGGCAATGATTTTTTTTTTTTTAACGATGATTAGAATTCTAATAAAACCTAACCATATGATGAAAATGAATTTATGCATTGAATATTACTTTTCTATTTTGTTGGTTCTGCTATCTATCAAGAAATTCTCGGCAAAATCCAAGAAAGAATCTGTAATGTCATCAGTTGTGAGCTAGCATCTCCACTAGCAACTCAGCTAGATATAATCGAATGTTCTATGTGCATTGTTTCTTCTCTCGCAATTCTTGCTTGTCGATGTTTCTTTCACCATCTTCGGCATTTTCTGTCAACTAAGATCTTCAAAAATTTAGATGCAACATTAATCATCGTTTGTCTTCTTGAATCCTGATCTTTTATTGTCCTCTCTCTCTCTCTTCGTTGTATACTTGTTTCATTTTCAGTACCCTCCCCTAATGAGTCTTAGTGGCTTTATTGCCTTGTTTGGGGCGAAGTGTTTTTTTTTTTTTTAAATCAGTCGTTTGACGAAGGTAACATTTCAGTTAGTATCCGCAACTTAGAGACCCACAACGTTCTTCAGCGCACGAACTTTTCCCAATGGTCTTGCCTCTGGCGCACTCCCAATAATGTCAGTCATCTCCAAGGCGTTTCGCGAATCAGAAAGATACCTGAAATGAGTTCCAAGTTAGCCAATAACAAAAGAAAAAAATTGACCCGGTGCTTGGTACATTACTTGCTACCGTTGTATTTTATTATTATTATCATGATCACCATCATTATATTTCGATTTCTGCGATGGTCATACTACCTACCAAGTCTGCGGGGAGGCCTAAGGGAGGTATTGGTGCGTTGTTATGGCGACATTTCATAATCTGTTTTTCTAACTCACATAACATCACTAGCGTTACATGGACAAAATTCTTCTTAGTGTGTGGGCTGTAGTTATCACGACAGTTTTTTTTGTATTTCTCTTAAGCTGGGATTTCCAGGGATTTTTTAAATGTGTTGTTGTGTTCCTTTTTTTTTCATTCCAAGCGCACCTACTATGATTTCTATTATTCTTGCTTCCAATGTCCACATTCGATTTCCATGTTTTTATACTTCGATTGTTTTTTTTTTTACAAATTTTTGGTTGCTACATTACAGTTCATTGGGCAAGCCATATCAATTATTAAGCAATTTTTTTTCGATTTTTGATAATTATGACCGGACTATTTACTTCAATCTCCCTGTCTGTAAAGATTGTGAAATCTCAAAGAATTGTGATGTTTCCTATTTCTGTAACCGGTGCTAAGTGATGTTCATACCTTTCTAAAGTGTTTGCACATTGGCCAGTGTAAATATTTCCCCACTCTATCGTGACGATATTGCATTAGGTGCAAGTACAGAACATCCTGAGATTAAATGGTCTATGGTTTCCTGATATTTGTCACAGAACCTGCATTTTGGTTTCAACCTATTGTGTATGGTATTAGCCTGAAAGTTCCGAGAGAAATGACTTCCGGGTGCAAGAATAAGGTCTTCCATTTCAGTCTTTAATCCAGATGCTCATAACCATTTGTTGGTTCTTGGGTTTCGTTTTAGTTTTCTTCAAAATCTACTAAATGTAAATCTTGTTTGTATTTACAACGTTCCTTCAAGATTGAACGAGTTTTCTGTTTTCGTGTTGTTTGACTAATTGTATCATCCAGTCCTTTGTTTTTTTTCCATGTATGTTAGTAAACCAATAGTAGTTGTCTTTTATGACAATTCTA